TTTGTTTTGTTTTGTTTTGGCGGAACCGGGGATTGAACTCAGAACCTTGCACTTGACAGGGAAGCGCTTATTCTACTGAGCCATCTCCCCGGCCCTTCAGTTAATTTTTGAACTAAATCATGCTCCTCTAATTTTCTACTCATCTAATTTATGATTTCTGATAGAATAGCATAGATATCTATACACTAATGTATTCGAAAAAAAGACCACAGGAAATCTTGTCCTAAACCCATACTTTATACCCCAGCAAAAGTAATATCACAACTTTTTAGTACATTTGCTGCAATGTCCTGGATAACATCTTAATTGTTCTATCAATTCTTGAGCTCCTTGAGAACAAGTACCATTAGCTATATATTTATCTCTCATGATACAATTACCTATAAGTAGTAGGTATTGAGTTTTATTTTTTATTTTATTTTTTTTAATGTTTTTTTTAAATTTTATTTATTTATTTGGGGGGTGGCCAGCTCAGCCCACCAGGGGGCGGGCTGGCTGGCATGTGGTGCTGGGGGATTGAACCGCGGTCCCCAATGCTTTGCCAAGCTTGTTCTAAGTAGGTGCTTTAGACCACTGAGCCATCTCTCCAGCCCCGGTATTGAGTTTTAAATGAATGAATAAATGAAAAAAACCTGAGGGGGCTAGGGAGATAGCTCAGTGGTATAAGCAGCTGCCTGGCAAGTGCAAGGTCCTGAGTTCAATCCTCAGTATCAAAAACAAAAAGAAACCTGAAATACCAGAAATTACACTGAGTAATTTAATTAAAAGCATCAATCAAATAAATTAGTTACTTTCAGTATTCTGGTGACATAAAAATCAAAGCACTAACAGGGTTAGCGGACATAGACAAAGGTGGGTATCGTTCCCATTTAAAAATTGTGTCACAATCCCTGACTCTCATTTAGTCCTTGTTATGAGCACGAGATAAATTAAGGTTATTTGTAGCAGGACAAAGAACACGAACAAGGGGAAATAACACAAAAGAAGCAATAGAAGGAACACTCAACAGGGCTGAGAGTTATACATGAGATGCATTCTAATATTTTCATTTATTATACAGATATATTTATGAAAGCTAAAATGAAAAAATAGAATATCACCACCTTAAATAGCAACTAAAGATAGGATATTTGGATAACTTGCTAGTAAACCACGTGACTCTGATAGAAAATACTGTAAAGAGAGGTTAATGGTACAGAAATGTGAATATGAAAATACAGGAATAAGGTATTTTACAAAAGGATCAATATTTTAACATTTTCTGGTTGAACTCTGCTGCAATTAGAATTGTACGATGTAAAGGTTAATCATATGGGCAGGAACTAGAAGGATAAGTTATATTTATGTCCCTATGTCTCTAAAGTAGCCATGATTAAAAGTCTATATATAATTGTATGAAAGTAGAATTTTAGAAAAAAAATACAATTTTTTTTTCTGCTTTTGCATTTTTGGGTAAAAAATACAATTTTCTCGAATAGGCAAGCTTTAGTTTTTCTCTACATGTAAAATGTTAAACAAAATTTGGAGGAGGTATTGGTTGGACTGAGAACCTGAACTTGTTCCAACAGACCAGACCCATATGAAGCTACTCAGGATGAATTTCAAGGATACACTGAAACCAAGTTGTCTATCTATCTTCCAAGAAATCAGGAGGGGAAGAATGACAGTCAAATCCCCAAACAGGCCAGTTCTAGCTGGCACAATTCATAAGTTCTATCTGCTTCAAGTTTCATAAGAAAAATAACTTTGCAATGACCATCGGCTTTTGTGTTCTGTTTCTACTTTGCTGAGCAACTATATATAAAGCTAACCCTGTGTTGAGTTCAGCTCAGCAGAATACTCTGTTTTGTAGAACGAAGAGTTGTCCAATTCAATTATCATAAATAAAAGCCAATTAAGATTTTTCCATTTGTTGTAATTTTGTTTTGACAAAAATCAAAACATAATACAATACAAAGTATGCAAAAAATATTATTGACATTGTACTATTTGCAGCACTCCATAGGTTTGAAAAACAATGTCTGTGAGAAACAAAAATACTAACTACCCACACATTACCTAATTAGATTATCACTAAGTCAAACCATAGAAAGAATGGCTATCCTCAAGAAGTCACCCAAAGAGCTAGCCAGATGGCTCAGTGGATTAAAACGCCTGCTTAGGTAGATACAAGGACCAGGGTTTGATCCCCAGCATGCCGTACCAGCTCCGCTCCCCGGGCGTGCTGAGATAGTGGATGACACTGGGTATACTGAGACCCTATAGAACCTGTACTAAATCCATAAAAAAGTCAACCAATAACTAAACCAAAGCATAGAATTAAAATTCCATTTAAATTTTGCACACTCATTGTATAATCCCCTACATCACTTTAAAAAGGAATACTAGGGTTGGCCAAATAGCTCAGCCGATTAAGGCACCTGCAAGCAGGCTCAGGGGCCGGGGATTTGATCCCTGGGGCCTCCCATGCCCTGGCCCCACCCCTGGGGCTTGCTGAGATGGCAACTGACCCTTGCCATGGTGGCACACGCCTGTAATCCCAGCTCTTGGGACGCTGTAAACAGGTGGCTCACTACAAATCCGATTTAGCAGTGAGACCTGAGCACCCCGTAGACTCCTAAAATACAAAAAAAAAAAAAAAAAAAGAAAGAAAGAAAGGAATACTAATGTCTCAAATCTCTACAGAAGTCAAGGGAAATTCTCATAAAGAAACATACCAACATTCCATATCCTAAAGCAAACAGATTAACATTTCTAGTTAAACATTAAAATAGTCCTATTTAGAAAACTTCCAAAAAATATTTTGATTTTGCAATGTGTTCTAAAATTCAAGTTAAGAAATTAATCTTTATATATACCTAGCTAACATACTATACATAAAAAAGAATATTCTCTTATTAATATAAAATCTGACTTCCTAGTTCTATATAAACACACCTAAATGGCCTTAAAAAACCCTAAGTATTTGAGACAGAGAGTTGTAGTTTAACAGCAAGTTTTGCTTACATGTTTTTAGCTGTTACCAGTAAGAAAACAAAAAAGATACTACCATAACTAAGAAATATTGTTTCAATCTCCACTAACACTGAAAACTGTGTTATGGCTTTTCTGCAATGGTACACTTAATAAGAATTACTATGCATTCCATACATGAGCATGAAATTGATGTATATTATTCAACTTAAGTTATGCAATCGTGTTTTGCTTATTAGTAATAATTACGACTGATTCCCTATATTACATGCATAAAAGAACCTAATAAATGCATACGCTTAATTTTCTTTTTCTATTTAATTTTATTTTTACAAAGTGGTATCTCTCAAAGTATAAGCAGTTATTTGGAAAAATACTGCATTATTTCTAAATCAGGAGTCCTTTAATGTAATATCTGAGGTTATGCTCTTAAAAATGCTCTGCACATTAAGATACAGTTCTTTTTACAATCACCTAGAATTAATAGCATAGTACTTGTAATAACAATATAAAATATTTTATTCATATATTTCTGATTTAAATTTCTAAATGGCAAAGAGTGCTAATGATTTTCTCATTCAGAATCATATTTGTCAGGGAACAAGAAACAACAGTGTAGTAGTAGCCTAAATTACTGCTACATGCAAAGTACCAGTGTTTGTCCTGTGCAAAATACAAAGACATTAATGTACAGCAGAAGAAAAGACATGCATGAATAACTAGAACTTCTGAAGTCTGTGGCAAATGCCACACAGTAATATAGAAAAGGAGCCCCCGAATCTGGGTGAGAATACAATGGTTCCAGCTACCATTGGAAGTGAGTGTGTTCTCCTTTGGGAAGAAGGATAAATGATAGAGTTCTATACATTTGTGTAGATGAAGCAAAGAGAAGAGATAACTTATTAAGTGGCAGCAGTCACTTTCCTTAATAATTATGATTTCCCACACTAGAAATGGACCTGTCAAGGTACAAGTGTAAGGATGGGAGAATGAAGCTGGGACAGAAATCAACTCCTGCTATATACTTTCACATGAATGGCTATAACAAGCTGAAGTAGATTTGGCACTAAAAGATCTTGTCTAAAACCCATAACTGCATTTACAGCAGATAAGAAGGTACTTTTCTCAGTGACAGAAGTCATTTCATCTGTTGAGAAGATCCAAATAAGATCTGAAGCTTAAAGTACACGTGAGTGTTAAAATTCTCAAAGAAACTCTACAACTGAAGGAGAAATGAGCAGTTATCATTTAAAAACACCTTCCGGGAGTAAGTAATCATACTGAGTAAATCTTCGCTGGTTTGTAGCAGTAGAATACTTTGGGTTTTTGTCTGTTAGGTAAATCATTGCAAAACTTTGCAGTCACTTACCACAAGCTATAATGGATTACATTTCAGCCTGTATTCAGCTAGAATACAGAGTAGATAATAATGTTGCCAGCTGTGTATTATACATTATCTTCTATGACAAATGCATACTAATGTAGAATATTCTTTTAATCTATTTTCTTTCAACGTGCCATGATAAAACTTAGCCCATTAAGATAACTTCAAAAAGCAGAGCTGTTACACACATCTAAAAGAGCACTGACAATATTTTGTTTTAATGGAAAAAGTGCTGATATATATAGCAAACAAAACTGCAAATAAGAAATCAGAATGCAAATATCCTCACAAAGATGAGAATACAGAACATATTTTCATTTTCCATTGTCATATATAGAAAACAATATTTTAATGTTAATTACCAACAAAGCTACAGTTTTGTGCAACAACTTTCAGCATATGACATTTAAGAGAAACAGCTTACTTAAGATCCATGCTTCACCAGCTCTATGAATTTACAACTGCCAATAATAGGTAAGCAGCATTTCATTTTACGGTGAAAAAAATGCCAGGAAAAACAGAGCAATACAGATCACATGTACGAGCATGCAGATATAGAACCACATATAGGTGCGTGCCTGCTTCAAAAAATTTGTTGTAAAGCAAGAAGAAATTATTGAAGATCATATTTCAAATAACTTACCTTTCGCCCATCACTTGCATGGCAATTCACATTTAGAGGAGTCAGTAAAGCCATTAGTTTTTCCTCATTACCACTCCTATAAAAACAGTAATTCAATTTTATAAAGTCATAGAGCTTATGTGTATAAGTACTTTTTTTTACAAGAGTGTGGAAAATAACAAGGCTTTGCTGTGATTTCTTTCACAAGGAACACAATGAATTTCTTTTCTAATATTCAACTGAGTGTTTCTTAATTTATTACCTGTTAATCATATAGTGATATATCTTAAATGATATAGCTTTCTACATTTTAATTTATTTCATTTACCTTTAGAAAGTCATCTTAATTACAAGCCAACTTTATTCTGATAAGGAATCTAAAACATTGGAGTTTTAAAAATACATGGAAAATGCTATAGCAAATAAATCAATTAAATTATAAATGCTCAAGAACAAAAAAAAATAGGTGTGGATTTAACATTTACTTTATGTCCCTCACTCAGGCTCAGCTAGAAAAATCTTGAGAGGAAAATGAAGATACTAGTATTCAAACACTCCAAACATATCATTTGAAAGACTAGGCAACTAAGGTTTGTAGGCAGATTAAGAAATATTTCAAATAAAATTAATCTTATAATCATCACCACAGTGAAAGATTTTATCACTACATATATAGTCATCATGTAAAATAAAGTATACAAAGATTTACTACAAGGTCATATCTGCATTACTGCATAAAACCCAAGCAAGACAATAACATCTTATAATTTTTATAGTTCTCCACCTGCCTTCCCCTTCCCTCCCTGAAATGCATTATACTCACTTAAAATGAATGGAATCGCTTACCTAGCAGCTTCTAGGAGTTCGTCTTTCTTGTATTCACCTAGATGATTGCAAAATATCATGCTGTTAGCATTTGGCAGAAGACAGATTAAGAAATGCAGTAGGCAGCAAATAGAGAATGAAATAGAGAAGAACAGAAAAAGAGAGTCCACACCCCGCTGGGTGATGGAGCCGTGACGTTAGCCAGCTTGTGAAGGCAGCATCACCAGTGCCTTGGAGACGGGCAGCAAATTGACGCAGCTTCTTGTCCAATCCTCAGATGAAATAGCTTTCTTCAAACAACCAATGAATGCTAAATCTCGTGTCCAGAAACACATTCCCTCTGATAACAGCATGCCAGCTGAAGACAATGCCCCCTCCCCCCTTTTCTATTCAGGCTGTCACAGTACACTTGTGAAGCATAATCCATTCTGAGACAAAAGCAATGTAATGTGGCTCCTTAGAGGAACAAATTATTGGTCTTCCAAGACACAGTTTTATTTGTATTAATTGGAAAAGTTTTTTTTTAATTAATTACCATTATTGAGCTTTACAGTAGTAGAAATTGCAAATATCAGAACCACGAAGCCACTGCCTCAATAGGGAAGGTCTGTAGATTAGAAATACGTGAACTACGTACCAAAAGCACTGAACCTCTTGGAGGCAGAGCTATAAAACCAAAACGGAATACATTCTTAAATTGTACTGAAAGCATGCTTTAACCTTTATGCTTTACACAATTTTAATATCAAATTTTAACATACAATAATCTTAACCATTTTTTAAAAAGTGGTTGAGATTTCTGAAATGAGCAGTTATCCAATTTCCATGATGTAGCTAATTTTTCCCACTTCTATTTTTTAACAATGGATTTTAAACATATCACAGATTGAAAACAGAGGTATAATTAAAAATCCTTCACAACAAAAAATTTCTTAAGGCACTGAGATTCTAACAAGTTTCTATCACAAGCACAACTGAAGAAAAAGGAATTTTAACACAGTGTTTGTTCATTCAATAAAGAAAAAGGACAGCCAGGGCTATGCTTCAAACCATAAATGACTCAGTTTGCTGTATCATTAGAGAGATAATTATATAAAGTGCCTTACCAAATCATTATATGTAAACAAATACTACAGAGATGTAAAACTTTAGATTAAATTAAAAAGTTATAATTCCAATATGAAATAGGTTCAAGCTTAAAAAAGTTTTGTTCATAAATGTGAACTTTTCCTTTTGTTTCTTTGTTGCTATAAAATGCACTGTAGCATACTATAAAGCTATCTCAGAATCACCAAGCTCATGTTTATTTTATTTATTTATTTATTTATTTATTTATTTATGTATTTGCTAAAGGGTCTCACTATGCAGCTCAGACTCGCAGTGATCCTCCTGTTTTTAGCCTCTCCAGTGCTGGGATTACAGGCATACACCACCATGCCCGGTCTCTACTGCTGGCTCAGTGTGCCTGGGGGTGGGGCTGCCTAGGCAAGCACTTAGACAGTTCAGCTATGCCGCTGGCCCACCAAGCTCAGGTTTAAATTCTATAATCCATGAATAGCAAATATTTTTTAGCTTTAACTTTGTCTTGTGTTGTCATTGTCAAATAAGGAAACACTTAAAAAATCTATCCTATTCTGCGGAGCTTGTATATGAATAAAGTCACAGGTTTAGTAATATATAGCAATACACCAGAATGCATATTTCATGCTCCTGGAATTGGCTTCCCCAATTTCCCCTAAATTATATTTCTGATTTCTTTAACAAATGATAGTATAAAAGTCATATTATTATAGTCTCTAGCCAAGAAAGTTCAAAGCTAAAGATTTACTTTTATTAAATGTTTCAGGTAATAATACAGAAGTTGAACATTCAGGCAGAAATACATAAGTCACAAAGTCAATTTTTAAAAACTCTTGTGAGGAAAAGACATAACCCATAGCTCAAAGGCCTAAAGACTCAAGATCTCCATAAACCAAGTTGTGGCATATACCAGTATCTATAAAGGCATTCATTCATTTGAAAGGCCTACATGCCAGGTTCAAAACTAAAAAACATTATGACCACTAAACTCACAGAATATTATTCTATTACAGAAAAAGTGATTACAATAGAAAAAAATCTTATGAAATGCCCAGGATTTATTGGCTAATCTAAATGAGCTAAGAGTCACAGTAATATCTGACTCTAATAAAGACAAGTAATAAAACTGCAATGTACTGGGGAGCCTCAAAGTTCAAATCAGTCTACCTACAGAACTTCTCGTCATGCAAAGCTTATTATTGATGTTTTCACCAACAGGCACATTTTGAAAACAAAATGTTATTCCTTCCCAGATAGACTGATCATAAGCCAAAGATTTCAAATGGAAATCTTTATATAATAAGTACATCCAACAGTGTCAGACACAGGTAGTACAGCTAGCTTTCTACTCCTACTGTAAGGCTCTTAATACTTCAATCAGCTTTGCTGCAATACACCCAGCCATCCACTATCTGGTGCCCGAGGACCACAATCCACAAACAATTGAAGCTATCTTTCAAATGCTTTCTCACAGGAACAACTAACAATGAATTTAGAGCTTCTCATCCATTCCAACAACAAATCTAAGCTACTTACTTAATAGCCAAACCAACAGATCTGTTTCATCTTAGGTGAGAAACTTAAAATAGTCTGGCTGAGACTATTGAGCTCTATGGAACATTTATATTCTTTAATAAATCCAGATAAAGACTGGCAATAGATCAGCTAGAAAGTAGACAAATTATAATCAAGATAATAGCAGCTAAAAATGGAGAAAATAGATGACCTAAGATGACCTATAATGTTTTTATTAGAATAAAGAGTAGGGGAAAAAAGCAAGCTATAGTTACTTTTTGACGTCTAAATTGTTATTAGTAAAATAACACAACACATGTAAAAAGCATATGTGATACACAAATTAATATTTTAAAAAGCTGTATTATTTGATAAAGATTAAGAATAAAATTCTCCTTTGTATTTCTCTGAGGAAGTCTAAATGAACTTCTCTTTAACTCAGTATAAAAGCAGCATTACCTTTTGAATAAAAATGATGCAAGCTTGCCTAAGTAAAACAGAAGTTACGACTGTCAACTGACTTCAAGTTTCTCACTGCAAGAGTTGACTTACTTGCTTTTTCTTCAGTGACATACGAGCAAACTAGACAAGTTTTGTTAAAAAAAAAAAAGTTATTTGGTTGTATTGAGATAAAGCAGCATAGAAAAATGCTCAACTTGTAATCATAAATGCTTAAAGCAATGAAAGACTTAAAAAAGAATTCTGACACTTTTTCTACTTTCAGGCCACACAAGATACACAACTACTAGCAATGCCTGCCTTACATGAGATGCAGGTGCGTATAGTTGGAGGTCACTCCCTCCATATCACCTCATCCCCAATTTCAGAACAGTGCTAAGGGATGGGCTACAGCATATTCATTTACAGAGAATGGCACTGGTGCCACAGCAGTTAAGTGGATGTGTAAGGGTTCACTGAAGATTAGCCACTATTTTCTGAGGCTCTGCACCAGGCTAATATTTGTGAGTGCAAACTCACCAAATCGGAGCTTCTGAAGAAGTGATATAGTAAAAGAGAACAGAAAACAATAATAATAAGATAATTTTTTAAAAAAAAGAATTTCTAGCTTTAAACAGTTTAATACATTAAGCACAAAATTCTCATCGACATTACTTGAACTTTTGTATTAGCTTGTGAACATGGGTCACTGGGCCATGGGAAAAGAATAAAGAAAATTCATTCTGGATCTGTTTATATGAGCAATGCACTCTGCATTTCCCATAGCATGCTTTAATTCCTTATTAGGTATCTCAAGGAAAGAGCTACGGAAAGACGTCAGTAAGAACCTCAAGCATAACGTGAGGATACAGAGATATAATTTAGAGAATATAATATAATATAATATAATATAATATAATATAATATAATATAATAGATTTTTGTGTTGCTGACTGCTAAGCAGTGCCATAAACAAGTAATTCTGAAAGAGATATCATTTCATCAAGGCATCAGCAAATACAGATAGTTGAATATAATTGATTCTTTTAGCTAAACCAAGAGCTTATTTGCAGAATAAATAATTCAGGTGACATATTCTATTGTTTTCATTTATAAATTTGAAAGTTTTGAATCATCTATGTGTCTGCAGAAGAATGAGACTAAAGTACAGAAAATACTTTAATCTTAAGAAGTTAAAGTTAGATATTCCACCAAAAGCAATTTTCAGACAGACTGACAGTTTACTGTCTATAAATATGGGCCTGTAGAATACTTGAATTATTGTTTACACTACAGATTCTTTCATGAATATTTCTAAAACAGAAGGAAAATTTTAAAAAACCTATTAGAGCCTTCTTATTTTTGAATCCTATCAAATCTTCCCACTGATTCTAATACTGACTTCAAAGTCTATACCAGTTAAGTCTAGAATTATGCACCCCCCCACCCCCGACTACCAAACAACACTTCATCATTATGAAATGTAAGGAAAATTCCTAGACTGGAATAAATCCTGCAAATATCAAGGCATAACTGAATTAAAATTAAGGACATAAATATAACTACACACTGGCCAAAAGTGGGGGGGGGATGTATAAGTGATTCAAAACATTCTTTAATGCTGAATATTAAAAGCCAAGAGAGGTATTCCTCTAGGAAGCCATTAACCAGTGAGATATTCTAAAGAATGCCTGTATTTTAAAAGAAAATGACCTTTCAGACCATGATGCAGAGGAAAGAATCATTTGATATACTGTAAAAGAATACAATAAGAGAAAAGAGAAAAAAACCAGAGCACACAGGGAATTCTGACTCTAAACAGAGCTCATCACACCGCCACATACAGAGTCTGAGAGTTCAGGGTTTCTTAGGCAATCAACCACCCGGCAGGTGGGGCCTGAAGAAGTGAGACATGAATATTTTTTTAACTATCACAAGGTTTGCTTCCCAAGAAGGTGGTTTAGAAATAAATTGTGTATCTGATCTGAAGCTGTTTGGCAGTGGCTTTCTATTTTGCACTACATC